ACTGCATCATGGAAAATATTTACTGTTTGCTTTATTTAATGTAGCATTGAAATACAAAGAATTCCATTTTTAAGTATTTACACAAAAATAATAAAAATAATTACCTTTTCTCTTAGTTTTTACATCAATGTTTGAGTGTTGATTTTGGGGATGCATAAATTATAAACAAGGAAATAAAATATTTTTAAACAAATCGATCCCCATTAAACCATGTTAGAGCTACAAAAAAGATATTAGCTCCATAGAATATTATCAAAAAACGTAAAGCTGCATTTTGCTTTGTTGCGTGGGTATTATATGATGTACATTATGCGACATGCAATATATATGGCGCATACTACATTTATTTGCTCAAATATTCCAAAATTGTCTCAAATGTCAATTTGATGAATGCTTCTGTTAACCACAAATGACATTGTGTTAAATCATTGGCGACGTCTTCCTGGATTCTATTATTTTGTCCATTTGATATTGGATATTCCCTTCAGAAAATCCGAGAAATGCTTGATATATGGTGACTTTACTAACAATAATTTCAATAGTGGTCATTTTTTTCTCTCCAGGAAAAGTGATCAAAGTGACAGAGTTTTTGGTATAATCTCGGGAATAAAACCAATGTAAAAGAACTCTTAAAATGGCGAAATTATTTGAGTAAGTCACCAAAATTCTTATATAAAAAAAAGAAAAAATTTACTTCTGGTTTGAGGAATACTAGCTATTAATACAGGAATCAACTTTCTGACTACAAAGTTATTTTTTTGTAGATTTTCATATTGAACAGAATATATAGCAATTCTCTTAAAATACTTCTTAATAAAGTTACACATTGCACAGATATTGACAATTTCAATAAACTTATATCGTACGTATATAAGGGTAAAGAGTAGGCTATCATATTCAATGTGAAGTCTTGAAGTCTTGAAATCGCATCCATTGCTTTGCCGTGTGAACACATTATAGCAATTTTTAGACGACAATCGGTATCCTATGTGTTTTCTTTCTGTATACATGTATATGAAACAGAAATGAAACTTTGAAAATGAAGACTTAGTATACATGTATTTCTCCTTAAAGGCGAAAGAAAATATATTCTGGTGCAATATTTTGTGTTTCTGATGTCAAAATCGAAATTCTTAAGCTTCTTCTTTTTAAATCTTATGAATAACTCATTTTAGAACTTGTTCATTTTGACGCGGTAAGGAGTGGAAAAATAATACAATTTATTTACCACAGAATGCGTGACAAATGCGTGTGGGAAATTGCCTCAATACTGAAAACAAGTCATTTATGCCTTAATTGAGAAGGATGGAATTGATAATGAATATTGACTGCAGTGTTCTGAATATTGGAGAACTATTATATAAGCGTGTCATCTTCACCCACAACTTGTGCAATAACTGATCTAAGCAGCAATTGGAGAATTATGCAGCAACATTTTGGAGATTTAATAAGGACCAACATACTACTATTTGGATTGACTCTAAACTACCTGAGGATGCTTGATCTCAATCTGTGAATTTGTTCTCTAGGAGGAAAGTAAAGATTTTTATCTGAGGTTGATATTGAGAAAATGTATGAGTTCATCATTGACAATATCTATATAGTAAAGGGAGACCAGGTCGTCCAACAATACCCATTGGTACTAATTCTGCCCCATTATAAGTAGACATGTTTGTGTATTTTTATAAAACCGAATCTACTTAAAAACTTCTATGCATGAAAAGAAGAAGTTTCTTGCTTTGGCTTTCAATTCGACATTTAATGACATTTCATCAATTTTAAAATTTATTTTCATTCATACGTTGATTCAATATATTCCACTGAACTCGAAATAAACAGGTAAAGATTAACGAACAGTTATCGATCTTTAAAAGATACAAGCAATACAATTCTGTAAACAGGGCATACAACAAGAACCCCTGGAAATTTTGTAGGTAGGATCAGGTATCTAGGAGGAGTATGCGTCCCATGTCAACCGGTTACATCCGCCGTATTGATCAGGTAGACAGCATATTCCGTAGTCAGATTTAGTATAAAAACAAAGGCTTAATAATTGGTATGAAATTTGTCAGTCCAAATACGACCCAATGATAGTTTATATTTCATTATAGCGACCAAAGAATTTACGAAATGCTGATTTGAAACGTGGTTGTTGAAATCCCTGCAACATCAACTTATCCATCAGTAGCCTGCCTCGGTTAAAAAATTGATCGTGCTCAGAGCATGCTTTTGAGTATCGTATATATACGTTGGGAAATATAAACACCGCATGCAGTTGTTAGCGCAATTTAACTACATAAATAGGAAAATTTGACGATGGAAAAGTTGTGGTTATGTCGTTTTTGTCATACGATTTAGTTGATAGTTGCCCCTAATTGTCTCTAGTCAAGCGAAACATAGAAGTATCAAAAATAAAAGACATAACATAGTTTGTCTCATCCGTTTAATATTTGGATGTTTTACTTGAGAAGGATATTGACGGCGTACTAATAACTGAACCTTATGATAAACATGAAAACTTCAACTTTTCTATCGTCAATTTCCCTTATTTTATGTATCAATTTACCATTATCACCTGCATATTGGGATTATGTCTAATAGTTGTTTCGATACGCAAGAGCATGTTCTACCTACAACAATATTTAAAACTAGGCAGGATACTGATAATAAATTGATGATACAAGGCTATCAATGAGCTCGTTTAAAGTCAACACTTTGAAAAAAATATGGTCGTTATAATCTTGCTTTCAAATACAACCTGTAGTTAGGTCGAATGTTGACTTATGTGTTTTATAAGAAATGTTAGCCCTTGTTTTCATACTGAATTGTCTATGGATCCCTCTGTTTACCCGATCCTGGCAAGGGGATCGAATACTTATCTCACCGTGGTACCTGTTCCCACTTCTGATGTTTTCAGAGGTCTGTATTTGCTCTGCTCATATAGCTTCATTGGACTAAGAGTAGGATTACTGTGGGTTATACTCACATTTCACCTGAATGTTTTCATGCTAAAATTAAAATCCCTTTTCTTACTTAATCACTAATCAATGTTACTTAATGAAGTCAAATATGAATCTACATGGCATGCTTGCATTTTAAAATAAATTATGACAATTTGAATTGTGCTGTTCTTGAGAATAATATTAAGATTGCTTTGAATATAATGCTAGGTAAACGGAGCCTTTTTCTGTGGTGTCATTCCTGCTCTTTGAAAATACACTACAGAAGAATGCTTACCATTCTATTTGACAATTTTAGCTATTGCGTCCTTATTTTCTATCTATTTACAAATAAATGTTATGGATAATCCCAATGCGTGATCTTAATGTGACCAAATAAAAATTGACATAAATCTGATACATAAAAATTTAACATTTTTGGCCCTTGCCCTCGGAAGAATAAGGATTTAAAGATTTCTCCTTTTGATATCTGAAACTGAATCTTTATTGTGGTTCTACATGTATCCTGCTCCCGAGAAGCAGGGGAACATGCCTCAACATAGATTATTCTCGTATTGCATTCTAGGGTCATAACATAAAGGATAATAGGCAAAAAGGTATCAGACCATAAAACATGCAAAGGCTGTGACTAAAGTTTGGATAAATATAGGACCTGATTTTAAGAGCTACTTAAATCTTATATAAAAACGTTTATGGTCCAATCATAAAGCACCCTAGGTGGTGTCTCAGATATGTTATGTTACTTGCTAATTATCTCTCAAATATAAAAGTAGGTTCTTCTTTTAAGAAAATGGTGAATAGAGTAAACAAAATGAGCAACTTCTTTTATTTATTTTAATTGCGAGGTTAATATGATGATTGTGTCAGATTAATAATATTTCAGTGGATTTACATTTACATGTACATGTAACTATGTATTAATTTATCTACTTGTATTTAACCAAGTGTTAAAATTTTCAAAGACTCAGAGCGTACTTTATTTGAAAATTTTTTTATAATTATATTCTATTACCTATAAAATGCCTACAATTTTCAGATGTAATTTATCAATTCTTAAAGTTAAATTCTGCATTTTTCAATCTTATCCTTTTCTAGTTAAAAGCTCTATCTGTACGGCCATATGTTACCATCATATAATAATAATAGTAGCGTCTTAAGACTGCAACTAAAAGCATTGCAAGTCACAAACATTAGGCTACAAAACCAAGTTCTATAACCCTGTTCAAACGTATATGACGGAAGCGCAAAAATATGTGTATCTTAGATATAAGAGTTTACAATGAAATTATTGAGAAAAACGCCATTGAAAAGCAGGTTGATTAATTTATGAAATTAATGAAATCCATGACCGGCCTGAACCTAAATATATGTCTACCATAAAATACACTTTGGACATTGTGCTAGTGTGACAATGACAAGAACAGTGAGTAAATTTCACGACAAGGGGATATTCGGAACATGTAAATACATGCAAATTCTGAAAAAAATATCAATACTTAGTAAGGGTGCACACTTCTCCAAATTCTAACAATACATCAATTCTTAAAATGACCTTACCATTGTAAATGAATCGATTATGGTGATTGCATTATTTATTTAGACTCATTGCTATCCCGGATGAGTATCAATTTTTATCCCATTTTAGGAACTCGAAATGCAAGTAATGCGCTCATATACCCTTCGATGATATCGTTAAATTCATATCTAAGAAGAAGATATACAGTTCATATCTTATATAAAATCATTACTTTACTACATGTATTTGAAGAACGGGCTAAGAAATTCTAAATGCAGTTAAAGGAATGAGGTAATCTATCATAAAGTTAACAAGTCTTCATGGGGAATAAAATTCATAAAATACTGATTATAAGTATATGTAATTGATGAGAGAGAAAAGTTAGCTCACTTCACTTTTATTGATTTCAATGCTTTTCACAAAGAAACTCTTGTTTTATCAAAACCAAAAATAAACTTCAAATATCAATAGCACTAAACATTTCGAAGAATTAATACACAACTAAACATTATAACATTTCAGTTAGATTGTCTTCTAGTGAATGTCTTGCACCTTATAAAAAGGCCCCGTCTGTTGTTGTTTGTATAGGAAATCCACTCAGGGCACAGTGTGAGGTGGGTTGTTGACCTGTCTTCCAGCGCCTTATTCTGTCCATGAAGCCATCACTGAATGCAAGGTAGATCCAGGGATTTGTACAACTGTTCAAACTGGCTAATAACAAAATAATGACAAATGCCGTACCTGAAAAATAAAATTAAATATCACTGTTAATGACATCATTTCATTGGTGTGAATTAAATCAAACATGTGTTAATCATAAACTGTAAACAGCTGTAATTGATTAGTTTTTTCTCCAGATAATAAGATGAAATGGGGTATGATGAGAAATCTGATTACTTGTTACTGTAATTTGATTGATTCAATTTAGCTAAGAATGTGATTGTAATAGATTGAGATTGGGGTAATTTGATTAAGGGTTAAAACCAATTTATAGATTATTAACAGAATCATGCTTGTTGGTGTCTTTAAAAAAAATGAGGAAAATGAAAAAAACCAATCATTTTACAGATAAGAAATTAAACTGCTACACACCTTTTTTTAATACAGGTAAAAATGTGAGGTTTACGGTAAATACAATATTTATTGTAAGTCCTGCATTTATAGAGGTTTTAAACTCATTTTTAATCTTCTTTGCAGGTTTTAATTACGACAGCTTTAAAAAGACATTATTTCGCCCAACATTAACCTTGACTTAAACAATAGCTAAAAGTGGTGTTATGTTGATTTATGGCCTTTTGCGTATATCGATTATTAATTTTAGTTAAACAATGTTTTAACATTAGCATATCTGCTGATTAAGTATCTGATTTGTATAAAAACCTTACTTTCACAGCAGTAACTATCCAGTTAATATTTAATTTTTTTTCAATACAAAATCTACCTGTTCCAATGATTATTTATTGGTCTTAAAATTTTAGTTGCTTAAGAACCGTTTTTGTTCTCTCTAATTTTTAAGCTTGTTAAATGAATACCATGAATCAGTCAAGTAGACTGTAATATCATGATTTTTATTCCTTATAAGGGCAGGAATTGATCAGAGTAACGTATCAGAATGTAATATACAATACTAGGAGGAATGGAATATGTAATACTAGTAGTCTACCGACGCAATTGACGAAATAAATAGCACACTTTACACATTATGTTTGTATCTCATTTTGTGACGTCATAGTTGTTATCAAACCAACATCTAAATAAGTATGGAAATAACATTATTATAAATGTCATCAATCAGAATTGTGTTTATCAGAATTAAAGAAACGGCAAGGTGCTCTCAATGTGCAAAGCATCACGATAAATCAATAAAATAGGTATTTTACTGTAAGCTTGAGAGATATCTGAGAAAATATTACATTTCACATTTCTTATATAGTAAAATATATGTGAAGAATTCTGTTGGACTTGAGATTTCATATTACAGAGGTTCTCTTTATCCTATACATTCCTTTCCAAAATTTCTTCAGGCACAATTTGTAAAGTATGCATGATGAATGCCCCCTTCGAGACTGTTAAAATTATTGTTTTAAAAATCAGTTATTTGATCTAAGCAAATTCCTAATGATTGAGTGATAAGCAGTAGTTTTACACAGTATTCATGGTATACTATGAACATAAAAGTGAAATTTATTATAATTCACTGCAATTCTGTGTCATCTGATGCTTTGAGCAGTTGATTTCTTTTTTAAAAATATATTCTGAATTTTTGTTTTATTTAATAATGTATTACAAAAAAAATTGTTTTGAAAAGAAGCCGATCATGTATATTAAAATTGTTTTTGAAAAAAAGGAAAAATCATGTATATTGCCATGAACCTACTTGTGTATGGAGCTGAAGGGTCGTAGGCAGCCCAGAGTTGGAACAGAAAGAAAGGGGTCCAGCAGATAAAATAACACAATACCACAGCCAAGGTCAATCGCACAGTTTTAATTTTAGCTCTAGAAATGCCATTTGCCCGACATGTCTCCACTTTTACACTGAACTTTACAGCCTGTATATTCCTGTCTTGAATATTGTCATGATAAATAGAGGAACTGGATATTCGTCTGCTGAGGACAAGCTGCTCATTCCTATGGCTCCTTTTGATAACAACGAAACAAATTCGACCATAACAGAAAGTTAAAATAATCATCGGTATAATGTATACACTGAATGTAAAATATGTAATGTAAAGTTGAAGTGTCCAAGCTGGATCAAATGTAGCCCAGCAGTCATATTGTCCATCCTCTCGCCTTTTGTATGAAAATATTAAGAGTTGTGGTACTGGAAGAATGAGTGACAAGCACCAGGCGATAAATACCATCAGATGAACTCTTCCCGAACGAATCTTATGACTGAAAAATGGATGACAAATTGCAATATACCTGTCTATGGCCGACATTAACATTACATATGATGAAGCATAGATAACGACAATTTGTAAGTATTTCACAAAACGGCACAAAATATCGTTTCCAATGAAAACGTAAGTTATATCCCATATGAGTTGTGGAAGGACATTGCAGAAGGCAACAAAAAGATCTGCTAAACTTAAATGCATCATGAACAAATACATCCTAGACTTTTTTCTGGGTAACAAAACTGCTAAAACAGTTGCATTTCCGAAAACAGCAAGCACAAAAATCACTACTTGAACAGAAATTTCAGCCTGGGCCAATGTTTCATCTCTGTTTAGATTAACCGAGTGATTAGTTGTGTCTGATTTGGCAAATTGTGCCGTGACGAAACATTTGGAGCTGATGTTATTTCCAAAAGATTTATTTAACGTAGTAAGTTTGTCATCCATTTTGACTTAAATTGTAAATCCACAAGATTACAGATTTAACATCCAGAAATGTTATTGCGTACAAAAGAGAACATATACTCTTAAAAAAATAACATGATAAGTATCCATCGGCCAATCTGCTGTCCATTCAATGTTAATGAAAATGAAACGTTGACATCTGATTGCCAGTAAAGCTTCCGTCTTTTATCGTTTATTATTCAAAACTGCTCTCTTGATTCCATCATTATCGTTTTTCTTCATTTGCTTCTCTCCGCCCTAAGCCTTATTACTGGATCTGTTAAATTTTCCGATAACTATATATACTGATACAGGATCATAAAGGTAAGAGATTGTGGTAGTTTCTCAATCGCAATGGATCACATTTATAACTGGCTAATAGCATTTACAGGCGAAATATAATTCTATTTCTTTACAACAGTCATGGGTTTTATTTTCTTGTCACGTTTTCAAAGTAAAATGATGCCAAATGGCTGGAGAACAAAACAAAAATCAATTTATTAGCAACATAGTATATTTACAGACTTAATTTAAATTTTGTTTAGCAGCAAAGGAAAACCAGAGGTTTCTGGAGAGACTCAAGCGCTATTGCTATACGATAACCTTTTACTTAGTACAGTAGTTTTAATACCACATAATTTTTTTATTCTAAGTGGCCAAATTTAGTAATATTTTTAATATATTCTGGGACAGAATTTCAGAATTTTTCAGATTGATATCTTAAAGATTTCAAAAAGTATATATTACTATAATTATATTGTTGATTTAACTCTTGGTACAACTGCAGTTTCTGTATATAAAAAGAATTTGGCTTTTCTTTAATATGGATGAAAAGCAAGCAAAATAGATGCATCTATCTTTTTTTTAATTCTAAAGCATACTATGACTATTGTGTTGGCTATTGATACGTCTAAGTTTAAGACAAGGTTATTTTTGTTCTTGAATGCGATAATCGTACGATCGAGTTTGTGCAATCGTCAAAGACAAAGCGCAATGCCCTTCCCAGTGTTTTGTCAATTTTTCCCTTGTTTCTCGTTCACCACAGAAATGCAAAACGAATGGGCAGTATTTGAACTTTAATATGTTGAATGTATTGAATGTATGTAAGATTGCAAGTTTTTCTAATTTGGTTCAGGTGTACACCTTTTCTTTTAAGGATTTCTATATTTGGTTAAGAAGCTCTCTTACAGATATTTGATATATGAGGGCTAACACGCTCAAAATCTTAGGTTACACCAAACTTCGATTTCTGAATGAATCGTGTTTATGTCTATTTCAAAGTAGATCTTTTCCTCTTTTGTTGATTCCCAAGGCAGATAGCTTGAAGTTTATCAGAATTTTTGCCATTTGATTGTCTTTTAAGGGGCATGGGCACACTTACATTGCTCTTATGTTTAAAAAAATTCATCTGTTCATTTAAAAATAAATTCAGTTCAACGATCATGACAAGGAGCGTTCATTTATGGAACAATTACCACTACATGTACGTTTTCACAACTGCACAATCTTTTCGTCAAAATGTAGAAATATTTATCATCAATGGACGCAACATTTCTTAATTTGTAACTTGTTTCTATGTTTTAATAATATATAGACTTTTTTAACTGTATTTCACCTATGTCATGTACTTGTATTTTTTCTGATTATTGTACGGTTTTGTTTTCATAATTGTACTATACATGCATAAAGGGCCCCGAGGAATACTAGTACTTTGCAATAATCGGGTTACCCTCTTTAAATAAAGTATTATTATTATCATTATTAAGGTAAATTATTCACGAAAATGTGGCTAGGAAGTGACTATCACGTGGAGAAATGGTAAACAGAAGTTATGTTGCGTTTCAGTTTTCACCACTATAATATCAGTAAAAATGCATTTCAATCTCTCGTGAATTCATTCAATCTTTAATAAGTATTCTTTATGCCATTGATTTGTTTCTGCAGTTATGTATTAATTTTCTTGGGGGGGGGGGGGGGGGGGCAAACATACTTGAATGGGAACTGGAACAATATTTTTGGTGTAAGATTAGCAAATGAGGTACCAACATGACTTAAACTGACAAATTAGCTGAATGAGTTGAATTGCATTATGGGTTACTGCGGATATTACAGTAATTTTGCGCTGGGAAAATACCAAATCTACAGGCGATCTGGAAAGGCACAATGAACATTTTTTCCATCAATATGTCCATTTTTATTCTATAATTCCCATGCTCACAATTACGAACAATTCAAAGATTTGCTAAATAAACGTGGGAATCTAGGTTTCTCAAAGCCATACTGTAAGGCGATTTTACGTCTGTTTTATTTTGTTGTTCTATCAGTGAATACAATTGTCAGGTGGACCAAAGGCACATGTGATCACGGGTATTGTTAAATAAAAAGAAAACCCTTTGTTGTCCATCAAAATGCCTAAGAGATGCTACTTGTTCTCCTTATCCTTGAAGCGCTGGTGTTCTGAACCTGACACGTACTATATTTTATTATGTACATTTTCTAGTTAACAAAGAAACAGCAAATTACAAACTCCTTGACATCTTACTTAGTTTCTAACATTTGTATTTTTTTCATGAAAACAATTTTTTTTTCAATTGCTTTTTTTTTGCAGTCCATTTAATCGATCGTAGATTGACCTGAACCACGTGTTCAAATTAAAATGTAAACATGTAGCTGTCCATTAAGACATTGCTGTGACGTCATGCCTTTGTTCTTGCAGTCTAAAAATTTACCTGTAGCTGTCCGATAATAATAATTAGCAGTCCAATAATATATTATCGGACGGCAGTGATAACAAAATCGGACAGTAGTTAAAAAACAACAACTACAGTGAAATCAAGGTTTAATTTGTCCAGAAACCAAAAAAAAGTTAGGGAGAAAAAATTCAGGAAAAGCGAACGCGAGGAAATTAAGTTGTTAAAAATAGCAAATCCAAGAAGAAACTGGAGTTTTAACCTTCCTCAAAAGTAACACTTTCCATTCGTTTTTTTGCACAGCGTTTTCGATACAGCACTGTGAATAAGTCAATTTAAATCCATTTCTGATAGAGAACCAGTCTGCGAATCTCTTCATTTAACGAGGTTTGTTCGCCAATGACCACAATTTTAAAACCCAAGATTTTCAATATATCCTCCAATCAAAATTTTAGATAAAAATCCGCATTTTTACTAAAATACATTTTGAAGATATCATCCAACACTGTATCTGTATCAATGTCAAACGCACTTAATAAAAAAAAATTCCGAATCATAAAAAAATCCTTCATCACCTGACCACTGTCCATAGTTCCTGCTAAGCCAAACGACTGCCATTGAATGAATGAAACAAAAGAGTTAACTCACTGATTTTACTGTCTAAAGAAAAAAAAAACTTTCTCTTTTCTTTTGTCTACTTATTAGATGGTTTCAGGTAGAAAACTATTGATGCCTGAACTCCTATTGTGTAATTATCGGACTCCTCCAGGTGACTTTTGGACATTTAAATAGCAATGTTTTAAGTAAGATATATGCCTCATACAATTCTATATGTAAAATTATCAAACTGTTTTCGGCCCTAACGGGCCTAAAACAGTCTGATAATTTTACATATAGAACAGTATTCGGCATATATCCATTACGTAAACGTTGCTATTCATTCAACGATTGATCAATTTTCATGGTAAAATCCGATGTGCGCATTAAAAACAATAGCCATAATAGGTACATGAAGATGTCATTGTAGCAGATATTATACATTTTTTTCTACAAACCTATTGGGCGATTTTGGAAAATCAATTTCAATTTTCGCCACAAATTATCATAAAAGCAAAGATGAAGTTGATTGTGATATTTAACTCCCCCTCCTCCTTTCCTTTTTAAAATCATAAAAATCTTTCAGAAAGGTCTGGAAACGCATTTTTCATGTTTTTAAAAGAAATAGACTATAGCAATTTCTTGTTTGCTGCCAAGTTTATTTATAGGACAGGTTCTACCCTATAGCCTTTGAATGGGCCAACCTACACCACGTGTCTTGAATTCAAATCACAATAATATTAGGAGGGGTGATTTGGTGTGTTTGATTTCCTAACATTGCTCACATGACTGACAATACTGGTGTGTCAATTTTTTTGTTACATTTTCTTCTAACTTTTCATTATTATAGTTTTAATATTTTTTATCAAAAACCCCCAGATTCCCTACTTCCCTTAAGGAAAAAATTTATTCGAGAAATTGAGATGATGTGTGGCAATAAAACACACCCTTAAATTTGTAATTTTCTTAATTTTCAATTATAATAAGTTTCTAAACAGGATTTTATAATATGTACAGTGTATATCAGTCTGAAACTCACTAGAAATATATGTCATCATATTCTACCAAACATTTTGAAGATTATTAGCTTCCAATCTGTGTCCATGCCCCATTATACCAATTTACGGCATTGAAAAAAGTATTCTAATGTAATTTTCAGTGCGTTAATCCAGTATGTGTAAGAAAGATTGTCATCATCAGCGTACTTATACAGGCCGCTTTCAGATATATAAAGTATCATTAATGAAGAGATATCAATAATAAAGATATGAAAATAACAGGACCAAGTATTAATCCTGAAACGCCTCTGTACAAAAAATACTCATTACAAAAAATTCTCAGTTTTACATACTGTTTGGGTTACAAAAATAGATTTCTAATAGGTTAATTAGTAGCTTCATTTGTATTTTTAAAAAATTAGTTTTGCTTAAACAGGATCATGGGGAATACAGTTAAGGGCTATATTGCTGTAGTGTATTTGTAGTATAATTAATTACTTATAAGTTTTTTGGAAAACATTCTAACATCTTTATGTTGGTATGAATGCTTACAACATATCAAAATATTAGTTACAGAGTTCAATGCATATTTTAGATTTAGCTGAACAATTTTTGCCGAAATACTTTCAATATCAGTAGCCTTTTTAAAGGATTTTTTTAAATGCATTTACTAACAACATTGCTTTCGACAGGATGAAAGGAACAATAAAATGTAATTCTGTATATTGCCGCTTTCAAATTTTTACAATGGTAAGATAAAAAAATTAAAATAGATATTAATACTCTTAATTCTATTTACTTTTATTTACGACGTGAAAAAGAG